CTTTTAGGAGACACAGATCAACCCTTAACAGGTAGGTTGAGGGTTATATTTCACAGAATGTTAAAAACCGTTGTTTAGTATGTTCAGCTTTCCTTTAAGACAAAAGGGTATTCATGAAAACTTTTTGTATAAAGAAGTAATACAAAAAATTCTGATTGTAATGTGAAAAGATGCCCTCCAAAGTTGAGAGCAAGTAGTAGGTTTAAATACTTTTACTATGGTTACAGTGTAATGATGGATATCACTAGTTGAGTACTTACTTTGTGCTAGACACTGTGCTGAGTACTTTGTGGCATTTAATTTTCAAGGGACTTCGTGAGGTATGAGTTATTATTGTAACCTCTTTTTTAAATATGAAGAAACTGAGGTTTAGAGAAGAACACAGGGTGGGGGAACAGGGAGAGATGTTGATAATTTGTTCCATTTAGACATGTTAAGTTTGAAGTATTGGCTGAACGTTCCTATAATGATGTTAAGTTGGTAATTTAAAATTTGGTTCTGGAGTTCAGGAGATGGGCCAGGGTAGAAGATAGATATTTAGTAATTGTTAGTACAGACGTGCTATTTGAAACCGTAAGAACGGGTGGGCTTGCCTGGGAAGGTAGTACAGAGTAAAGAGAAAGGAGGTGCTGAGGACAGAACCTTGGTAATGTGGCTACATTTGAGTCACTGGGAATGGAAGAAGAGTCAAGAGGAGATGCTTAAAAGCAGCGTGGTAGAAAGAGAACAAAAACGATGAAAGAAAGAATTTTTAAAATGCGGTGCTGGTTGGACCTTCCCTGGTGGTGCAGTGGTTAAGAATCCGCCTGCCAATGCAGGGGACATGGGTTCGAGCCCTGGTCCAGGAAGATCCCACATGCCGCGGAGCAACTAAGCCCGTGCGCCACAACTACTGAGCCTGCGCTCTAGAGCCCGCGAGCCACAACTACAGAGCCTGCATGCTACAACTACTGAAGCCCACACACCTAGAGCCCGTGCTCCGCAACAAGAGAAGCCACTGCAATGAGAAGCCCACGCACCGCAACAAAGAGTAGCCCCCGTTCGCCGCGACTAGAAAAAGCCCGCGCACAGCAACGAAGACCCAACACAGCCCAAAATAAAATTAATTAATTAATTAATTAATTTTAAAGAAATGAGGAGCTGGTCAGTGTATAAGAGTCTGCAGAAAAAGGTAAAGGAGGATGAAAACTGAAATAGAGTTTGGTCCTTACTGACATTTTGAGAGAGTAGTATCAATGAGGCGGTAGAATCTAGAATACAAGGTATATGCAGATAAGGCGTCAAGGAGTTAGACTATTTTTTTCAGAGGTGTGTACAGGAATAAGAAGCAAAGATCTGGAGTTCATTTAAAAGAGAGAAGAGTTGAACATTTTTAATAAAGATTTTTGCTTTTTTTTATGGTTAAAGGCAAGGAACCATAGAAATATTGAAACAAGACAAAACCCAACTAAGGAATGGGTCCACAATCCTAGTTGGTGGGGAAGAGAGTATAGATAGAGGGATTGGCCTGTACAGAATTCTAGTCCTCAAGTATTTCACAGTTTAGAAAATCTATTTCCTACTGGTTGGGTGTGGGTGGGGGAGTTCACAGTAGAAGATAATCTGAGATTAATGTTACTATTAAAAATACTATTAGATTTTAGAAGAATGAAAGAAGTTATAAGTCCCTTGCACTGTATGTAAATATTCATTGCTTGGGTCAGTACTAGTTTAAATGCTGCTCATGATGTTGCCTCCTGAGTTTCTGATGAGTGGAGACCTCGTCAGTTTTTACCTATCCCATGCTTCTCTTTAATAGCTGTTGTTTAGCTGGGTGGTACTGGCTGTGGGCTGTGATTATAAAGCTGATCAAGGAGCATGAATGAAGATTCAACTGTCAGTGTACCCCATTTGTGAAAAAGAATTTTTTTCTAATGTTAGCAAGTTGGACTCATCCTTTGCCTTATACAGAGTAGGAAATTCAAGGTTAATATTCAGTGTGTACTGGCTTTTTTAAAAGTCACTGTATCTATGTTTTGTAGTTTATTTAAAAATTTTGTGCAATGTGTTATACAAAACAAGAGTGTATAAAATATGTATGTTTCAACTTAAGGATAACAAAAAGAGGACATGTTACCTATTGCTCAGGTTAAAAAGTAGAAATTACTAGTATTTTAGGTTATTAGTACTTAGTATTTTCGTATTAGTAATACTAGTAATTATTAGTATTTTAGAATACTAAGTGTGCCGCACCTCCTGTCCCCATCCCTGTTCCCAGAGGTGCCATTATCCTGACTTAATGTGTTTCCGTTCTTTTACTTTTCTTTACAGTTTTACTGTCTGTGGATGTACCGTTTACTTTGAAAAGATGAATAGTGTGCTAAGCTAACCGAGTGAGGAAGGGGCAGCATTACCATAGTTAGACGAAAGCTTCCAGGAAACAAGCTGACTAGTCAGGCGGCAGGTTCACTGAGCTTGAGGAGTTCCTACTCAGGTAATCATTAAGCAGCGTAATGAGTTGATAGGACGCCATCTTGGTCAGGCACCTGTCATTGCTCTAGTATGGGCTGGGTATTGCAGGCTTGTTCAGCAAGTATATGGTCACACGGGAAGAGTGCTGATCTTTATTTTTGGATTCTGAGCCCTCTGTGGTCTTGCAACACTTAGCAATTGAGTAAAGCAGAATCTTTACCTCATCTGGGAGGTGAAAATGAGTGGTCTCAGCTGATCCAGGAAGTAAGGCAAGGTGGAGTGAGTAGGTACATCAAGACAAGCCAGATACAAATAAAAGTCTGGAGCAGGCCTACCTGGGCATCCTGTCCTTAGGAACAATGTCAGTGGTTGTCTTGGTGATGACAGTTTCAGGAGTCACGTCACTACGACTGAACTAGTTGCCCTTTAAATCCAGTGCACAGCTGGCATCCTGGAACTTCTCTTCACAATCCAGTCCTCCGAAAGGTTACTATCGTCTCTCTCCCATATTGGATCTTCTATATTCTGTACCCTAAGTTATCGTCTTTACTAAACATTTACTTTTGTGGCGGAATACTCTCTCCAGTTGCTTCTTGAGAAAAGATGCATGGAAGGGTAAACATTTTGAGGTCTTTTATGTCTGAGAAAATATCTTTATGTTACTTTCATAAGATGGTTTGGGTGAAGAATCCTCGGTTGGAAATAATTTTCCTTCATAATTTTGAAGAAATGTCTCCATTGTCATCTTCCTTCCAATGTGACCGTTGAGAAGACTGCAGTCTGAGTCCTGATTCTTTGTATGTGACCTGTATTTTCTTTCAGGAATCTTATGGAATCTTCGTTTTGTTCCCTGATTGTGATATTTCACAATGGTGTGCCTCAGTGTAGGTCTCATTCTTTATTTGTTTATACTGAACACTTGGTAGACCCTTTCAAATGGGCAGCTCACATCCTTCAGCCCTAGGAAAATTTCTGCAATTCTTTCATTTCCTTCCAACCTCCCCCGCCCCCGTCTCTGCAACTCCTGTTATTCAGATATCGGTCCTCCTGGACTGGTCCTCTAATAGTGTTCCTGTTTCTCTCCCTGTGACTTTTTGGGTTTTTTTTTGCCCCGAGGCATGTGGGATCCTAGTTCCCTGACCAGGAATTGAACCGACAGCCCCTGCATTTGAAGAGCAGTCTTTTTTTTGTTTTTTAATGTATTTATTTTTGGCTGCGTCAGGTCTTAGTTGAGGCACGCGGGATCTTTCACTGTGGTGCACAGGCTCTTCGTTGTGCCGTGTGGGCTTCTCTCTAGTTGTGGCACACGGGCTCAGTAGTTGCTGAGTGTGGGCTCTCTCCTTGTGGGGCGTGGGCTCAGTAGTTGCAGCGCGGGCTTAGCCGCCCCGCGGCACGTGGGATCTTAGTTCCCCGACCGGGGATTGAGCCTGTGTCCCTGGCATTGGAAGGCAGATTCTTAACCGCTGGACTGCCAGGGAAGCCCCCCGCTTCTCTCCTATATCTTTTTTACTCTGGTTCCTGGAAGACTTGCCTCAATTTTATTCTCCATGCCTCTTTTTTCATTTCAGCTATTGTGTTTTTAATTTCTAAGAACTCTTTATTTTTTTAATGTTCTTTATTAAATTGTATTCTGTTCCTGTTTTATGGATATAGCTTCTCTTGCCTCTGTGAAAAATATGAATATATAAATGTATATGTATGTAAATGACATGTTTTGTGTTAGAGGCGTTTCCTTGGGTGTTTCCTTGGGTGACAGTAATACCTGGCTGTCTGCTCATGATTAAAGGTGGAGGACGAAAAAGCTGATTGGGAACTCTATTTTTGGTACAGCACTGATACTAGCAAATGTGCCTTTATACCTCAAAGATGCTCTTGTTTTTCTCTCTCCAGAACGTAACTCTCCAGTCTTCTGCTGAGGTGGGGAAGGGCCCGTTGTCTAGCATCATGGAGGAGGGAGCAGGTCTAGGAATAAAAGTGCTTTTCAGACAACTTTCCTGGAATCTTCCTTGCTTTAACCCCCCTCTTCTTTGTCCGTCACCTCCTGCTCCTCTGTTTCCAGAAGGAATTGGTATTGCCTTCTGTGGATTCTCCAGTGTAAAGTGTGTTGTGTCTCATTTAGTTTTTGCTGCCAGGCTATGATTTGGCTTTCCTGGGTCTGCTAAACCACTTAATAATATTCATCCATCCACTCTCAGTCTTTCAAGATTTTGTTGCTCTTATCCCTTCTTACGAGTTTATGTCTGAAAAAGTCTTTTATAGCATTTTAGTGGGCTTTCATGAGAGAGTGAAATTATATGCATGTTTCTAATTTGCCATCTTAATCCTGAAGCCCTGATTATTTAAAATGTTTAATATATGTCTCACCTCTTGAGACGTGAAAAGATGATTAAAACTAGCCCTTCTCATCTCTCGCTTTGGTTTTTACATTCATATTTATAATACGTGACACTCGTTTGAACTCCTTGAGACTATATGAACTCAAGGATTTATAAGTGCATCCAGAATTTGTGAATAAAGAGGTTGATTGTTTTTTAAATTTGCTCTTGTAGGAAAGTGGGAAGGTTTCTGAATATCCAGCAGTGATTGTGGAGCCAGTTCCAGGTGCCAGATTAGAGCAGGGCTATGCAGCCCAGGTTCTGGTTTATGACGATGAGACTTATATGATGCAAGATGTGGCAGAAGAACAAGAAGTTGAGACCGAGAATGTGGAAACAGGTAGACATCTCATTAAATGTTCATTATTTATAACTTTCTCATTTTGTAAGTGTCAACGTTACTATTGCCAATTGAATAATATACCGAAAAACCTCTTTTTAATGCTATTTAGTATAGCTTGGAAACAAGGGAAATATCTCTTGTTTAAGGGAATTTATATATATATATAAAGTTCTACATTATAATTCTTTGAAGTCCAACAGAGTCTCACATCACGGACCCTGAGGACAAAATTACAGACCCATAATAATAAAACTATTTTTGTCATTTTTTTTTTCTGGGAGTGGAAATATTGACTAGTTGTTATTTATTTGTAGAAGAAGTCAATAGACTAGTATACTAGATTTTTTTTTAATTCAAAAAATAAATACGGTATTCTCATTCCGTCGTAGATTAGAGTTTCTTTTAACCAACACCGGAGCAGTATGATTTCTTTTTTCCTAGGTCGGAAGCATCTTTGTCGTAGTCTATCAGATTCCTCTTCCCTTTTTGTCTTCTTAGAAATTTTGGTATTTCAGTACGTCTGTGGCGAGATAACTGTTTGTTTAGTTGGGCATTAGTGTGTATAATTCTTGGAGAAGCCTTTTCGTTTTTGCCATTGACCATAAAGAAAAAAGAGTTTTTTACCAGAAGGATTATAGTGACAATTTTATAATAATGAACATTAAATTTATCTGTATCAGTTAATAGAGAAAAAGAATCCTTATGTTTGGTTTACAATCCTAATAAAAATTCTTAATACTTTAGATACATTTCTTTAAATGCAGCAAAGTCTCATGATTAAAAATTTTGTGTATTTGATGCCTTTCTGCTTGTTGAGGCCCAGTAGCACTCCCTAGTTCTTTTTTTTTTTTTGGTTGAGCTGAGGGGTTGGAAGTTACCTTGCTCTTCGGAGCGGTGATGACAACAGTGCCAGCAAACCCCACCACGTGCAGTGCTAATCAAGTCATTTTATCGAAACAGGTGGCTAAACACTTCATAAAGCCTTTGTGACTGTAGTCTGGAGTGGTACTTGATTTCCAGTGCAAGTGGCAGGAAGATAACGTATGTTTTCTTTTGAGAGTTTGGACAGCTTTCCAGTCCGAAGCTAGAAGGTTAGTGGTAGAGATGAATTTTCTTCTTGAGGAAGAGAATAAGAAGAACTCACAAAAGTATTATGCAGGATGATATCTTGAAGTAGACATTGTAACTGATTTTATTATAGGAGCATAACTAAATAGAAAACTAATGGGACAAGAAAAAAGTATGATAGCTTAAGTTGAATGAAGAAAGTAGAACTGATTGAAATTTCTGGAAAATGTTTTGATCCAAAAAAAAAAAAAAAAAAAAAGGGAAGACTGATTTTGGTAGCAAATCGGAAACTTTGAAAACTGAAAACTACAGTGCCACCTTTGCATCAGTAGAAATTTAAATTCACGTTAAAATACCAGAGCATGTTGACCAAATCTTACTCGTTGTACACTTGATCGTCAGCAGTTCATTCATTTAAATTAATCTGGTAAAAACAATTCCAAATAGGAAGCGAATATAATCCATTTAAGGGATTTTATTTTCTTCGTCTTCTTGAACTCTCTGAGGGTGATGGTATCATTTGCAGGGCAAAGATATGAGTGATTATAATATTGAAAAAGAGGATGTACAAAGTCTGGATAAAAGAACAGTTACTTTTGTGGTATTTTAAAAGTAGTTTTTGAATACTTGATCATGTTTTTTAGGTTTATTTTTCTTCAACACTAAAAGGAAATTTTGGTAAATAACTTACCTTATTCTAAAATAGTCTAAAAGTAACCTGAGGAGTTCATCTTACATTTTCTTTTTAATTCCATTCTGGCTCACGAATTTTTTAAAACCCACTTTACCTCTAAAATCCATATTACTTCTAAAAATAAGACTAGTATAGTGTAGCTATTCTTGGCTCTCCTTATAGAAGAACACTGTAAAATGTAGAATTCAGATACAGCTCTTTTAAAGGCAACGCCAAATTCAGACTGAAAACTACCTGCCCGTACATCCGTAATCAGAACAGTTTCATAACGCTCACACTTATTCATCATAAGGCCTGCAGAACTCGGAGACCACAATATACTAATTTATTTAAAAATAGCGTGGCTCACAGTAACTTAGTAAGCTTGTTAATATACGTAGTTTAGTTTAGAATCAGTTCATCTGAGCTTAATCTTGTTTCTACTTAAACACTAAAGTGCGTTTTTAAATGAGTTGAAATACAAGTAAATTTTCGTTCTCCTGATACCTAGAACCCGTGTAGATGAAGGAAGGTTGTTGTGACTTAACGTAACGCGTGTTTCCTTTTAGGTAGCGGATCAGGATTGGGTTCGTTTCTTGGGGTGACAATAAATTTTTCAGTTAAATCCCAGGTATATGTAGGTTTTGGAGAGGACGGTGACTGGGAGGTGAGGGAAAGGGGTATTTGTAAGATGGCTGCGGCAGCTTGTTTGGCGAGTTGGTGGAAGTGAGATCTGTAGAGAATAAGATTTCCTTTTGTACGTCTAGGAGATACTTCCTGGAATGCTCCTACCTTATGATTTAGATTATATTAGTCTAAAGAGCGTTCGTAATTATATTTATTGATCTGTTGTATCAGTCCTCTGCATGTTCTCATTGAAGTTTTTTTTTCTTGTATTCCTGTATACCCATGCATATATATGCATACCAGAAACAGTATGCGTGGTGTCATCCAGGCAGGAGCACTAAAGTCATACAATGATGTACATTTAGCTGTCTTCATTATTTTGTGTATAAAATGATTTCTCGTTTTGTTAGTAGTAATTATAGGCTATCTTGCTTCACTTTTTTATAGACTGAACATCTACGTTTCCCTCACAGGGCTTGTGTGTAATAGTAATCCTCTCTTAAATTCTATGGGAAAAACCAAGTATATTTTAAAACTTTAAAAATAGACATATTCATCTAAACCTGTGAATTGCTTTTTGATAATAACTGAAGTTTAGTAATCATCAAGAGCCTTTGAGGAGTAGTAACGACGTGTGCGTGAAGGGTGGTCTCAACTCCGGCAGGCCGAAGTACCTCTGCCAGTGGCTGCAGGGTCCAGCAGTTTCTGGAGGCCTCTGGAGTCTCTTGGATTCCCTACTAAGATGTGGAAATTCAGTTTTTATGTTCACTCCTTAAATATATGTATATAATATTTATATTTTATATATATATATATATAGATTTTAATGACTTATTACAGATTACCATGTAAAAAGTAACAAGTTTATACCAATGCAATCAATAATAGGTAAGTTTTGCTGGAAATCTTTTAAGACTTGGCTGCAAAGATTGAGCTGTTGAGAATCTGCTTCTTCATCTTGCACCTTAACTTAAACTATATTTATCCTCATCACCTTCCACTTTAAGTTATGAGAATATATCAGTAAATACTTTGTATTTGTTATGTGCTGGGGCACTGTGTTCAACGTGTTTTTTTCCCTCAAGGTGGTAGTAATTTATATTTTGTGGAGATAAAAAATATATATTATAATCAAAATATAAAGCAGTGTAGAATCAGTTGAGCACTATTTACAAATTCAAAGAAATTTTCAGAAGAGGAAAGCTCAACTTACAGCATTAGGGAGTGTTTTAGAGAAAGGAGGAGGACAAATGGTAGGATTTTTTGGGCAGATAGCAGGTAGGCGAAAGGCACGTAGACTGAGGGAAATACAGTTAACAAATGGGTGGGGTATAGAAATTTGAGATATGTTTAGAAGATACTGAGTAAATAAGATATTAATAGGAGGTTCCGTTAAGAACTGTGACTAGATTGTGATTTGAACCTAAGAGTTAGTTAGTAATTAGCCATATAAGAGAGAAAGATTTGGAAGGTTTTGAGTAGAAAGTACTAAGTGATCAGTATCTCAGTAGATAGAGAATGAATTGTAGGGAAAAGATGAGGCAGAAAGACTAGCTCTTGTAGTATGTATGACTCGGGGATGGCTTGAGAAGTATTAAAACAAGGTAGAAGCAATAGGAACAGAAGGGGCTTATATAAGCACTTCTACTATGTAAGATCTAATAAGACTAGGCATGATAGATTAGGGGGAGAAACATAGATAGGTAAGGTATTACTCAGTTTTTTGACCCTAATAATGGCGAAAGTATCATAAAGGGTTTTGAGGAAGTCAAGACTGGGGAAGCAGATAAGTTTGATAATAAGCATGTTGATTTTAATTTGAAGCAGAGCATCTAAGGGGAAGTAATTAGGTATTTGAAGATGTACAGATGTATGTTCAGTGCCCCATCACAAAAGAGAGGGCATATTCAAATTTGGATAATTTAAGGGATGTTTTAATAAATGGCTAGTTACAGATGTGTCGGCAAGTGTAGGGTAACCATAAGTGATGGCGGTGGTACTCCAGAGCTAGCAGTAGCAGAGCTGTTTCTGTCCTTTGGCCCAAGGGCCAAACAGAGGGAAGGGTTACCGGAACCCAGAAGGGGAGCCCTGGAGAGAGGGTTACCTTGAGAGAATCTGGGACCTTTGGTCAAAGGACGTAGCTGACTTGAGGGCAGTGCCACAGAGAGGGAGCCAGGGAAGTCAGCCTCCTGGGAGAGAGTGAAGGGTGGGCCGTAGGTCCGTAGGGGCAAATGGAAGGTTACCTAGCACAACTGGAGCTTAGTACAGAAACGTCAAGCAGAGACCAATTTGGGATCATCCTCGCTGAAGCCATGGAAATAAATGAAAACTCCAAGGGGGAAGGAACTCGAGAGATTTCCCCAAGGGGAAGATTTTTAAATTCTAGATTTGTCACTCTGTGATAGAGAACAAAGGACACAGAATTAAGAAATTAACTTTAGGGAATGTTTACATTTTGAAGACAAGAAGAGCCAAAGAGTAGTCAAATATAATCAAAAATCCTGGGTGGCTAATCCTGAGCTTAAATTTTTTTTTTTTTCTTTTGCACCTTTTAAGCGGCTCTTTACTTAGGAAAGGGAAGACTATCGACTGGGGTAGTTAGTCCTGGTTTCAGGTTTCCACTTTATCA